TTCACAGAGGGTAGGGTTTCCGAGTCCAGGCATCAGCTTCAGGCTCCTTCTCCCAGAGCTCCTGCCGCCGACGCCCTCGGATGCCGGGGCCATGGGGAGCTGACCCAGTCGGGCACCCAGGCCCCCACAGGTCGACCAGGCGCACCCGCTCCTCGCTGCTCCCCCGGTAAGTCCTTGCCACCCTACCCTCTGACCCGCCCTGCAGTCTCTGGGGGACCTTCGCCACCCCCCGAAGGCCCTGGCGTCTTTCTCCTGGCGCTCCCGAGGCATTCTGGGGAAGTTCAGTCGTGAGCTTGGCAACAGGCATGAGCTCCCAGGTTGGCTCGGTTCCCAGCACGATCTTAGGGAGCCGCATTACTCTGTGGTCCACATTCCTCGCTCATGTGGCTCGGAACCTTCTAGAACAGCAGGCTCAACCCCCACCTGAGCCTGGGCTGTCCCCAGACCCCACCCACTCTGCCCACTTCTGCTCCAGAAATTCTGGGCCTGCTTGGGGTTGAAGGGGGCCTAGGAGTCCCTTTGCTCAGTGGCCCATGGAAGAGCCACAGGAGAGCAAGCCCAGGAGGCAGAGCAGAACTTGGGCCAGAGAACGGGCTGGCTTCCGGGGGGGGGGGGGGGGGGAGGGGAGATCCTCAGCTCGGCCTGTGCCCTCTAGCAGTCTGGGACCCCTCAGGGGATGTCCGCCTGCTGGCTTAGGTCCACTCCCCACAGCAGTTGGGCATCCCCCAAGGGATCCTTAGCGTTGCAATGGAGACAGGAGAGGTTCCCACCACCACCACTGTGCTCACCAGCCATGACCCCGGCTTCTGGCTGAGCAGCACTCCCTCTGTGGGAGCACACTGACCACCGGGGGCAGCTCCTGTGTTGAGCGTCTGCCCCCTGGTGGTCAGTGTGTGTCATAGCGGCTGGTTGTTCTGTCGTTCGGTCGATTTACATATTAGCATTTTGTTATATAGGACTAGAGGTCCGGTGCATGAAATTCGTGCACAGGGTGGTGGGGTGGGGGGGAGGTGTCCCTCAGCCTGGCCTGCACCCTCTCCAATCAGGGACCCCTCAGGGGATGTCTGATCCCTCTCAAAACCCAGGACTGGTGGCTCCCAACCTCTCACCTGCCCACCTGCCTGATTGCCCCTAACCACTTCTGCCTGCTAGACTGACCGCCCCCTAACTGCTCCCCTGCCAGCCTGATTGATGCCTAACTGCTCCCCTGCTGGCCCAATCGCCCCCAACTGCCCTCCCCTGCAGGTCCGGTCAGCCCTGACTGCCCTCCCCTGCTGGCCTGGTCACCCCCAACTGCTCCCCCCTGCAGGCCTGGTCCCCCCAATGACCTCCCGTGCTGGCCTGATCGCCCACAACTGCCCTCCCCTGCCGGCCATCTTGTGGCCACATAGGGGCAGCTATCTTGTGCAAGGGCATGATGGTCTTTTTGCGTATTACCTCTATATTATATAGGATAGATAACTCACTTGATACACAAAACCTTGTGAGGTATGAACGCTACAATTGTGCTTCTTATAGAGGCAGCAACTGAGGCAGCAAGAGGTTAGTAATTTATTCAAAGTCAACCAGCAGATACTGGCCAGGCATAGCCCAGAGTTCATACTATAGACTATGTTCTCACACAGCATCTCTATCACTCCATTTCCTCATTTATAGTGACAAATAGCTGGGTCCATATGGGAAGGAAATAGAGATAGGAAGTTATGACTGACTCAGACCTTTACCAGCCTGAAGCTAAGTGTGGATGGTCCTTCCCTAAAAGTTTTAAGTCCCAGAGTAAGAAAGGAAAAAACAGTGGCAGAGATGACAGGTAACAGAAAGCAGGCAGATAAAGACACTGGAGAGAATTTTAAAATCTAAATTGAACTATTAACAAAACAAAAAGACAACCTACTGAACAGAAGAAGATATTCGCCAATGTACATCTGATAAGGGGTTAATATCCAAAATTTATAAAGAACTCATACAACTCAACACCAAAACAAACAAACAATCCAATTAAAAAGTGATTAGACACTTCTCCATAGAGGACATAATGGTGTTTTTACCACCAATATATAAGAATTTATTTGTAAATTTCCAAACCTGCCAGAAGTGGCACTTTCTAAGCCCTAAGCCCACCCTTCTTATCAAGCTCCAAATGGCAACGAGTTCTCCCCAACTCCACCAAGCACACCCATACCTTAGGCTATGCCAGAGAACTTGAGTGTCCCCTTCCTCTAGAAGGCTTTATATTCCTGAGCCCAAGAGCTAGGGTGGCAGCTCTGCAGCATCCCAGGAGATATGGCGACCAGAGCTGCTTGCAGAGATTGAGGAAAGAAAATAACGGAGGAGGCACCAAATAGGGCTCCCTGAAAAACCCCAACTTACCCCTGTACAAAAAAGCTCCCACATAGAAGAACCTACTCCCTAAATAGTGCAAATACCCAAAGAAAATGAATAACATATGAAAAGATGCTCAAAGTCACTAATTGTCAGAGAAATGCATATTAAAACCCAATGAGATAGCACCTCCAACCTGCCAGTTAGAATGGCTGTCATCATTAAATCAACAACAGGTGCTGGCAAGGATGTGGAGGAGAACCCTGGTGCACTACTGGTACAAATGCATTTGTGCAACCACTGTGGAAAGCAATATGGAGGTTACTCAAAAAAGTTAAAAATAGAACTATTTTATGACCCAGCAATTCCACATCTGGGTATATATCCAAAGAAATCTAAAACACTATTTCAAAGATATATGTACCCCTATGTTCACTGCAGCATTATTTACAAGAGCCAAGATATGAGAGCAACCCATGTGCACATCAATAGATGATTAGATAAAGAAGATGTGGTACATATACATAATGGACTATTACTCAGCCATAGAAAAGAATAAAATCTTGCCATTTGCAACAACATGGATGGACCTAGAGGGTATATTAAATGAAGTCAGACAGAGAAAGACAAACACCATATGATTTCACTCATATGCGGAATCTAAAAAACAAAATAAACAGACAAGCAGAACAGAAACAGACTCATAGATACAGAAGACAAAATTATGGTTGCCAGAGAATGGAGAAGATGGTGTGGAAAAGGTGAAGGGATTTAAGAAGTGCAAAGTGGTAGTTACAAAATGGTGACAGGGTGCCGGAAACCAATTACAGCATGACAGCAGGGCTGAATCTGAAAATGGCTGATGGCATTTCCCCAAACCTGAATAGGATACATTAAATTGACTGTTTGCTGCCAGACAGCTCAGGGCATCTTAATCTACATGTTATTGCCTCCTACTGGCCAAACACTTGAACAGCCATAGGCTAATTCTCCCCAATCTGACAATGGACTCTGTATACTAAACCCTGACCCTTTGAAGTGTATATCTCTGCCTCACCTCAGGACAATTTGTGTTAATAAAAAGCATGGGGTGCTGAGACGAGGAGATCTTCGTTTCCTTTAAACTAGGCTCCTCTGACCCCCAAATGCCTTTCAAAATTATATTTTGTTTCTGGACTATTTAATCTACACACAGCCCCTTCTCCAGATTTCCTGAACCCTTCTTAATACTGAAACAAGAACCCCAGTAATAGGGATATAAAGTACAGCTGAAGAAATCAATAATCTATATGTATAAAAGCCTAAGCGACCAAACAACCAAACGATGTGCACTGACCACCAGGGGACAAACACTCAACACAGGAGCTGCCCCCTGGTGGTCAGTGCACTCCCAAAGCCAACCTCCCACGGTCCCCCTTGCTGAGAGACCCCACCTGTGCACAAATTCGTGCACTGGACCTCTAGTGTTATAATAACTATGTATGATGCCAAGTGGATGCTAGAATTATTTGGGGGATAACTTCATAATTATATAATGTCTAAGCACTATACTATATATCTGAAACTAATATAAAATAATATTGAATTTCAACTATAATTGATAAAAATTAAGTTCAATTGCCCCAAGGCAACAATTCTGGAATGTTACATTGATTACTACTGAATCGTACAAGTTATCACGGGATAAATTAGTATTAGCAATGTAATAAAGAACATAAGTTTTAGAGAATGGCAAAAGAGAAGGCTTATACAATATTACATATCACTATTAGAGTTTCTAATGGGAGCAAGGAAAAAATACTGGTGTAAATTTATACTGAAAATAACACAAGAAAAATTCAAAATATTTTCCTGATCAAGAAGTCCAAGGATGAGTTCAGTGTTTTCCTTTATAAATTCTTAAGGTAAGTAAGAGCAGAGAGCTGTATTTCAAGAGGACGAGGGTCTGAAGTACAACATTTACCTCATTAAACGCCAAAATATGTTGAAAATGTATAGAGTATTAAGGTTGGATAAATACTTAAAACATATGATACTTTTAACTTTAAAGTATCCATTTTTTGGGTTTTAGCGTTAAAAAAAAAATCCCCGAGAGGTAATTCATGCTTTCAATTACCTGTTTTCCTTCTCCTCAATGAACTCATGGTCACTGAGCTCTGGGTACTGCACCACATTGACACGGACAGGATGCGCACTTTGAAGAAGCCTCCGCACGTCCTGCACCCTTAAATCTTCACTCCATATGAGTGACATAACTTCCTGATTCATATCGTTCATGCCATCATCTTCCTCCTCAGTCTCTGTTCCTGAAGGAACATCTGATGAGAGCACCTGAGTAACAGACTTGGTTGTAGTGACAATTTAAAAACCAGTTTACACACACTGACTGACATGAGCATGTCCAGGATGACATATCTGACCACCAACAGAGAAAAACTATGCATTCAAAGGCAGGCGAGCCTGGATTCCCTTATGTACCAGGACTCTAACATAGAACTCTCTGTTACAGCACAATTAGACTGCCCACTTAAAAATTCTTTATTGAGCCAAGAGAAGTTTAAATTTGAGATAAGAGTCAGGAGGAGGGTTCCTTTAAAAGGATCTAATAAATTATACAAATCTAACTATATCCTAAACATCTTGAAAACAGATATGACACCCCCCATTATTATTTAAGAACCCACACTAATTTAAATATTATATTTTATTAATATAAGCAGAAAAGAAAAACACGCAGAATATGCAACAAGGGTAGCTGAATAATACTTTCTCCCTTTAGAGTTTTAAATACAATGGATCATGGCTGGTTTTCACTTTTGTTTGTAAATATGTTCCAAATAAAAATTTCTTAAAAGGGAGGGGACTGATGTAACAAAACAAATGAAAAGGGTTCAATCCTTGATTATTATTCTGTCCTCATAAGCTCAGTGTATGCTTTTAGTGTGAGTCTTCCAGTCCAAGTACAGTCAAACCTCAGCTCTCAAACTTCTCCCATCTTGAACAATTCGATTCTCAACCAGGTTGTTCATGGAAAAAATGCCTGGGTTGTTGAATGAACTTTGGTTCTGGACCTGACAACCCTTTCATGCTGATACATCAGAATGACAAAAATGTCTTTCAGGCCATAAACAAAAGAGAGAATGCAAGTCAGTTTCCTGCTAAATCTAGGATTATTAACCTCTCAGGAAACAGTGCTGTGAATATGTTTGTGTGTTTGTTTGTTTTGTTTTTGTTGCTGACTAAATGGAGGACTGGCACAATTTTAAAACTTACAGAGGCCATCAAGAGTACTAATGTTACAAAGGATGTGAAAAAAATAATGATCACGGACAACTGAAGAGGTAGAAAAACTGTTGGCTAGAGGAAAAGCAGGTAGCCAATGACAGCATTTTGGAGGCGGAGATATGTAAAAAAGCAGATGCCACATACTGACCTCCTTGAAAGAAACTGGGGAACCAGTGCTGAAAG